CGCAGCGAGCGCCGATGTGGTGGCCCACCTGCTTACGGTAACTCGCGTGGTACTTGTACTACAAAGAGATGAAAGACTGAATGAGGAAAGTGTCTCATTTATGAATCTGCATTTCAACCTCATCCAGAGTTCTCTTCTTACGTCACTGATGATATCTCTGGAAGCTCTAGCCTTCAGCACGGCGATGGCATCCTGCTTGATGTGGTAGCCCTTGGCCTTCTGGTCGTCCCATGCCTTTGTGTACAGTTTCTGCACACAGCAAAAAACATTTGATAAAAAACACTGAAATACATAGTGTATCATCAGCAGATGAAAATCATAGGGATCATGCACTGATATGTATATCGTTTGAAGATATTTATGTAAAGTTTTACGAGTTTCAGCTCCTGCAGAACTCATGCAGATCTTGTAATTATGCAAACTTACGTTGCTGATGGTGATAGCGTTGGCTTTGGACAGCACAGCGGCGGGGGTGTCAACTGGCAGGCGGAAAAAGAGCTTGTCTTTATCCCAGACTTCTCTATACTTCCTCTGTTAGAAAGATACAAAAAAAGCAACATTAACTTCTCATTTATAAAGATATTTGTGCAACAATATGTGTAGAGTTTTAAATGTGTTATTACTCACATCACTGATGTTGTGAGCGTTCTGCTTGGACAAGACGATCGCCGGGAGGTCGACCACGCTGGTGAACTTCACAGAGCTGGGGGGCTGGCGGTAGAGCCTCTCGTTGATGATGGCCTGAGCTTTTCTAGCTTTGACGACGTCCACGGAGTCCTGTGGTGACCAGCCGCATCCCCTCAGCCACTCCATGTCGGCTTTATACACGGCCTGGAAAACAGAAAGCAGTTCAAACCCCAACAAATACTGTTGACTTTCAGTCACGAGTTAACACGGTCACTGGTTGAACTGAAACACCTGTTGCTCTAAAACGGTCGCGATTCTGTAGAACTTGAGTCGATTCTGACAACCGAACTTAAAACAACCAGACATTTTTAATTCAATGTTTAAAGCTTGATAACTCGTCTGGATTTAAGTATATTTTTTGCTGCTGTAACAAACAAATTTCCCCTTGCGGGATGAATAAAGTATCTATCTATCCATCCATCCATCCATCCATCCATCCGGATGTCTGGAGCAAAACAACACTTGTTGACAACAAGCAAACACATATTTTTCAGGATGTTGCTGTAAAATGTCGGCTGTAATAGAATCTATAAGACTTGCTGACTCAATGAACGGTATTAAACACAAACTCAAAATGTCGCTTTCAAATATAGCCTCCAACTATCCGCTGTCTGTTTTTAATCTTTGATGATTTTCTCTTATTTCTAAATAATAGAGACACTAACTCTCTTCCTTCCTTTTTGTGCATTTGTACAGTTTTCAAACTTGTGCTTTTTGTTTTTGCTACTGAATCGTAGAGAAAAATAAGCAAAATGATAAACCTCATTCTTATGAAAGGTGCTACATAAATAAAGTTCATTCATTCATTTGTCCGACTACGGGATGTCTAAAAAAAATTGGATTTTCCTTTCATTTGTTGGATGCAGATCTTGGTTCAAAATGTAAGGAGGGATCTGACTATCAATGAAACCAACATACTGTATATACAGAATCCTACAACTCTGAGTATGAGTTAGCATGGCCACGAAAACTAATGTACCGTCATGTCCTAATGACGCTTATAAATTTAACAGTACAAATACGATAAGAGCTAAAAACAAACTCCAAACCAATCCTCTCCAGCTTTCCATTGTACTCACATCACTCTGGAGGTCGTAGGCCTTTCTAGCCTGAACCACATCCGTGGAGTCTGGCAGGCAGGTCCACTGGTGTAAGTGAGTTCTGTAGTTGAAGTCGTTCACTTGATGCTGGCACTTCTTGGCCAGTTCAATCGCCAGCATGTCGCCTGGCAGGTTGTATTTGGTCTTGGTCTTGTTGAAGTCCTTCTTGTAGATGTTGTCGCTGGAGATCCTGGCTGCGTTAGCGGCCAACATGATCAGAGGGTCGTCTCTGACGCTGAGCGCACCAATATGATGGCCACATTGCTTGCGGTAACCGGCCTTGTATTTGTACTGAATTTTTTTTGGAATGGAAGTATTTTTGATTAGTTTTATTGACAAAAAAAAAAAGAAAAATGCTGCAGAAGAATTCAGCTTGTGAAGCGAATATGAAAACGAGAGGTTCAGACTTACATCACTGACGATGTCTCGGGAGGCCCTGGCTGATTTTACAGAAATTGCATCTTTGGGAAGGTAGTAGCCTTTGTTTATGGCGTCCATATAGCCTTCACGGTATTGTTTCTGGGAAAAGGGAAGGATACAGTTAGGGTGTCTGATATACAGTATATATACACCATAATAAAAAATACCAGTTTCCTTTAAGGGCAACAATTAAATGTCAATATTCATCCTTCAAACTTTAGCACTCTTAACTGATTAAGATAAAGCTAACAGTTACTGATATGATCATTCGTGATTACTGGTTATACAGCTACATGACGAGGCCCTGCATTACCAGACTGGTGTTGATTTTGTTCTGCTTGGCCAGGATGATCTCAGGGGTGTCGGGCATGATGTGGAGGTTGATCTTGTCCTTATCCCAGGCAGAAGTGTACGCTTTCTGCAAACAGCATAGTAACACGGTTTAGTGAGAAGTGACTTGTCTGAGTCATAGAACAATATCATGAAGCAACCAGAGCTTAGAGCTTAGAGCTAGCTAAAAGTCTCCATCAAACAACTGGATTTGTTAACATTTTGAATTGTACAAAATTACATTTGAACACATCATGGAAACGTTACAATTTAACTTCACCCAATACTAATTTTAACTGAATGGAGCTTGAACGCATCATAATGTAACTCAATGCAACCTCTGTTGGCGTTAGCTGTTAGCTTGGTTATTTAGCAAAGCAGGACTGATTTGCCCACTAGTTGCTAACAGCTAACAGCTAGCGTTAACATAAATGAGCTCTCCTCCTGGAGATTTCAACACAGATTTGCTGTTCAATTAAATGTGT